TCAACACATCATCAAAGTATATAGGCTGATTTAATTCAGGAGTTTTTTTTCTATCATCTAACATTTCTTCGTAGATGTCCTTTCTCATTAGCATTTAGAAAATTTAAAACTAATAAAGCATTATGAAATCTATCTCTTGGGGTCTTTATCATCCCTTTCTATTTATGTAGCATATTTTTTAGACTTCAATTTGATCTTTCTATACCTGCTTGTCCTGTAGGATTGTGTGGTATACCTGTAATATGCTTTATGTTGTAATATGCAAAAACTTTCATTCTTACTAGAGATATATGCTGAAGCATTGTCAGTCTTGATTTTTACAGGTATGCCCAAGATGTCCGTAACTTCTAATGAATGTGTGATTGCAGAATCAGTCATTTCAGAAATGAAAGCAGTTGCCCATCAAAATCCTAAATATGTACCAATGGTGTGGGGTACATATTTTAATTTTTCAAATTCGGCAAAATGAAAGACATCCATCTGCCAAATTTCATTTCTTTGAGTACCCTTTGGGTTACTTCTGCAAGCAGTGGAGTTTGGTTATACAAGTAACAAGTAGGACACTTTCTTATCATTTCCTTGGCTTATAGGCAAGTGATGGAAAATTCTTTTTTCAATCCCTTGCTAGTGACATTGTGTTTTAAATGAAATTCTGAGGCTGCTGGCACATTTACTACCAACAGTCTATCAGTTTCAGCATTACCATATGTTAGAGGGCCTGGCAGACCCCTATGGGATCTAATACATGTTATATATCAGGGATGATTTCTAATTCTGATTAGTTATTGTAACTGAATAGATAACAAGGTCAATTCTGAATCAATTGGAATAAATTCAGCCATTTTAATATGTAAAACAACTCTCTGTATATTGAAAGTCAGTAACTATATTATAGAAAATCTAATACTACCATGAGAATAGCATATAATTCTGACTTTTGAACAGAATCATGAAGTCTTTGAGTCACTTTATTCAAATTTCCTGATTTATAACCTGCTTTTCCTGATTTGTTTGAATCAGTATAGAATGTAGGGCCTCCAGAAATTGGTGCTCCCTGCACAATGTGAGGAAGGCACCAGTTAGTTCTCTTTTTAAACTGAATTCTCTTGTTTTATGTATATTTGTTGATATGTTTTTAATTTTTTTACCTCTGTTTGTGTGGTAAAGATAAAATTCTAGGATAGTATCTTCTCTCTGCATTAAAATTCTTGTGGGGAGTGTGTAGAAGGTAAAATAACCAGAAAGGGATCAAGCTCTGGATATAAACAATCCACATGTGCATCCTGCAATTTCTTTTCTACAAAAGCGAATTCTCCCTCGGCTTTAGCTGAAAATTTTCTTGGACTATTTAAGACATTGTCACCTTTTAAGTTTGAAATAAATCCCTCAGTTCTTGAGTTGTTAATCCAGCTGTGGGCTGTAGCCAGTTGATGTCTCCCAGACATTCCTGAAAGTCTTTAACAGGCTGCAATTGATTTTTCTTGATTTGTATCTTTTGAGGTTGATTTTTTTTGTAAATGTATCATATATCTTAGGTAATTAACACAATCTTCACTTTGTAATTTTTCAAGAGCAATTTACAATTCCAAACAAGGCAAAATTTTCTTTACTTCCTCAATCGTCTTTTCTAAAGTATCTACATTTGAATCAGCCTGCAAGATATCATCCACATAATGGGAAATTACAGATTGAGGAAACTGTACACAAATCATTTCTAATGGCTGTCATACTAAATATTGGCACTGGGTGGGGCTGTGTAACTTCCCTTGTGGGAAAAGTTTTCACTGATATCTCTTATCAGCCTGAGAATTATTATAAGTAGGCATTGTAAAGGCAAATTTTTCTCTACCCTTTTCTTGTAAACAATGAACAAACAGCAGTCTTTAAATCAATAATTATAATGGGCCATCTTTTATGTAATCGAGAGGGCAGAGGAATTACAGGCTGTAAAGAGCCCATTGGCTGAATCACCTTAGTAATGGATCTTAGATCTGTTACCATTCTCCATTTTCCAGATTTCCTTTTAAGAACAAATACAGGACAATTCCAAGGATTGGTCTATTCTTCGATATGTTGAGCATTTACCTGCTCCTGTACCATCTGTTCTAAGGCCTGTGAATTTCCTGATGTCAAAGGGCATTGTTCCACCCAAATGGATTTGTCAGTTAACCATTTTAAAGGTAGAGCTGTTGGTACTTTTGAAAGATCAGCAGCTGTTGTGCCCTGTTTTTGTACAACCTGAATGGTCACTGACTGTTCTTTATAATACCTTTTAATATTTTTCTCAGAAACATATGCCAGTTTATGGTTTCTTTCTGAGATTGGAGGTTTTCCTCTGTTGTAGCCATTCACGTATCCACAAATTCATTGCTATGTTAGCCACACATGGCTTTAATTTTCTCTCTGTTTTTCTGGCCCTACACATTCAACCCATCTTATGCTCTCCCTTCACCAGAGAAAAAGTTCTAATCCCTAAAAGTTGAACATTTACTTCCTGAAGAGGCCAATTTGGATGTCAAGATTCTGGTACAACTATTGTTACATCCTCCCTTGTGTCTATACGACACTCAATTACAATGTCATTTGTTTTTCTTTTTAGTTTTGGTCTCTGATCACAAAAGTCTGCCAAAATATTTGATGGTTTCTCCTGAAATTTTTGTTTTCTAAAATTGATGTATCATCTAGAGCAGTATGGTTTTTAGTATCTATTTCTTTTTTTAATTGGGTGATACATCTTTCTCTGCTCCCCTCCCTTTCTAGCCTCTCCTGTACTTCCCCCCAACTCCCAATTTACTTGGGGGATTTTGTCTTTTTCTCTTTCCTATATAGATCCTTTTATGTCTCTCTTAGGGTCCCTATTTCTTTCTTTTTTTTAAAAGTTATGTAATATATACATATACATACATATATACATACATACATATACATACATATATATATATATATACATATATACACACACACACTCTATCTGCATGTACCAGAAGACGGCATCAGAGCCCACTATAGATGGTTAATAGCCACCATGTGGGACCTGGGAATTGATTTCAGGATCTCTGAAAGAGAATTCAGTAATCTTAAGTACTGAGCCATCTCTCTAGCCCCCAATATGGTTTTTAAAAAAAGACATTAGGTCCTATAATTGTTCTGGGATGAAGTTTCCTTCAACTAAATTTGACAAGGACCTCTGAGAGAGGTCCCCCAGGCATTTCCTGATGGCAAAGGGTTACCCTGTCTGTCCTTTGTTGATCTGCATACATTGGTCCTTGTGGGCCTTGCCTCATCTTCTGCCTACTCTAGAAGGCAGGGGTGTTCTGTTTGGATTAGTCCTAGAAGAAACATTGCTTTTAAAAATGCCCAGTCTAGAAAAATTCCTTTTTAGATGACCTTGTTTACTACAATGAAAACATCTGACATTTTGTTTTTTCTTTAACCCTCTGAAAATCCCCTCTCCTATGCAAGTATCTTCATGGTTATGATTTCAATATTGACTGTATCTCAGATCCATTCCTGTATGGGTGCTGACCTTTGTCAATGGAAGTTTCTGTCCAATTCATTCCCACAGTCGTTCAGTCCAAAAGAGAAACACCCAGAGGCTTATATTAATTATACACTGTTCATATACTATTAATTAGTTTATTAATTATAAACTATTAATTAATTCAGGATTATATTAACTAGCTCATACAACTTAAATTAACCCATTATTCTTGTCTATGTGGCTTGGTACCTTTTCCCAGTGAGGTATTCTCATCTTGCTTTCTCTGTGTCTGGCTGGCGATTGATTCTGCCTTTCCTCTTCCGAGAATTCTCCTAGTCTAGTTGCCCCATCTCTACATCCTGCCTGGCTACTGGAAATCAACATCTAATTAAACCAATAGCAGTGACAAATATTTACAGTGTAAAAGAGCATTCTTCTATAGCAGATCTTGCCTTTAAAGGCCTAATTATCATTTGCTTTATGAATTAACTTTTTTAAAAGCCAAAGATTCAATTATTTTCTGGCTTCTGAATTTGGTGTCATTCTATTCACAGCTGAAGTCAATCTTTGTGGAAAAAAATCAGTGAAGGTTTCTTTTGGGTCCTGTATAACTTTAGTAAATGACTGAGTCCTCTTTCTGATTTCTTTTGTCCCAAGCATTCAAAGTTGCTGCATGGCACAGAGTCAGGGTGTGGTCATAGTCATCATGTAGAGACTGACTTTGTACATCAGCATAATTGCCCTCTTGAAGACGTTGGTCTTGGGAGATTTCAAGACTTCTAGCCCACTTTGTTGTTCAGTGGTCCTAGCCTCAACTTCTTACCATGTCCTCCACTGTAACTGTGGACCAGGTTCCAATATGCTAATGTAACCAAGTCTTTCCAGTCATTTGGGACAATTCTATTACCAGTTGACCATGAATTTAACATCTACTGAACAAAAGGTGAATGCATGCCATATGAAACTACAGCTTCCTTAAATCTCCTCAAATCTAACCTTTCCACAGGAACCCAGCCAGCTCTGACACAGCCTTGGGGTACTGCCATTTGATAGTTATTTCCAGGTGACTAAATAAATTAAGGCTGATTGTCTGACAGCCTTGGACTGTTCCTCTCTAAGTTTATGATGTAATGGTGTCATTGGTTCTCCTTTAAATTCCTCTTTCTATATCTGAGTATCTTCATTATCTGTTTTAATGAATTGTCTTAAGTCTTATAACTTATCAGATGAAATTCCATTATTTTCTTTAGTAATTAGTTGTAGGGCTTGCATATTGTCAGTAGTCACCTTTTCTAAGGCCTTTATCTCTTGGCAGTCATATCAACCAACTTGTTTAGGGATCAAACAAGATGTATCAAACCAATAATATTTATAATTGACATTATATAATCCCTTCTAAGTTAATTATCCCCTAAGTCTCTCCATCCTAACAGTGTTTCCCATTTTTGGATGTGGACAAAACAACTCTCCGTTTGTTTTTTGAACTAATCCCCCCTTTAACAGTTCCCAATTGTCTTACCAAATCTGCTGATGATAACGGTAAAGTCTGGGGCCGGCTGCCTCTGCTTAGCCTGTCTGAGCTGAAAAGCAGGCGGTGTCCATCCTGGCTGAGAACAGCTTTCCTGACCCTGTGTCCGCAGCCTGACGAGGGGCTCCAGGGAAGGCCCACACTTGTGGGGAGAAAAGGAGTCAAGCAGCCAGCAACCTGCAAGGGAAACTATGAAATCAGCCATGTGGGTGGCAGGAAGAGAAAGCACAGAGCTACCTGAAGGCAGAGCTGCTTGGTGCTGAGGGGCTAAAAACAGGCATTTGGAGCCAAGCGCCTGTGGAGTTTGGGACTTGTGGACATTTGCTGTAGAGACTGCTATAGGAAAATTCCAGACTTGCTCAGAAGGATTGGGGAAGAAAGGGAAAGCCAGAGAGACATGAGGTGACTCCCCTGCGAAACAGTTCTAACCCATGAACATGACTTAACTTTGTCTGTCTTTGTGATCCCATCTCAATCTGAGAGATGAGTCCAGTGCTCCTAAGCTGATCCCTAACCACCTGCCTTGCTCCTAGCAATGCTCACACCATGCCCTGAACTTTTTTTTTAATAGAGCTAATTTCTACATCTATGTACATATAGGTCACCTAAATGGGGTGTCTCCAATAGGAATCTCTGTCCAGAACTCCAGACGTACACTCAATACCTTCACACAGAGTTCTCTAGACAAGCTCAGATCAGCATGGCCCTAAACCTACTTCTTTTTTGTTGTTTGTTTATTTTTTTTTTCAAGACAGGGTTTCTCAGCATAGTCCTGGCTGTTCTGCAGCTCACTCTGTAGGATGGCATCAAACTCAGAGATCCAACTGTTTTGGCTACTCAGTGCTGGAATTAAAAGGTGGATAATGAAAGACCCCCGGTGTGGAGAGACCCTCACTCAAGTCTCAGGATAACACGACCCCCCCCCCCCCCAACCTCCAGTAACTCACGAAGAGACTGTCCTTGCTGCAATCACACGAGGTTTATTGACAGGTACCAGTGCACTGGGGCCAAGACTCATAACCCACGCAGGGAAGGAGTTCGACCCCGAGTGACCGGGAGAAGGGTTTTTTTTTTTTCACCTTTAAAAATATATATTTACAGAACAATTCCCCATTCTCTGGGACTCTTAGAAAAAAAGGTCCATTTTGGGGAAGTAAAACAAATAGTGGAGACGAGTGTAGCACCGTCCCCCAAATCACCAGCCCCCAGGTCTTCAGGCCTGGTCTGGGCCAGTGCTGACAGGAGGTGAGCCTGGGAGTTTTTTGAATCCATTCCTTCCAGCCTAGAATTGATACAAGACAGGCTTCATGTTCCCCATTCCTCCCTCCCAACTCCAGGGACACTTAAAAGGGTCCTTTGCACCTGCCCGCAGGAAATTGGGGGGCTGGGAGGGAGGGAGCTGAAAATACACATTTGGTATCAAAAATAAACACTTGGGGTTGGCAGGAAGACCACCTCCAAATCCCTTACTTCCCACCCACCCGCCTACCCACCCATCAGATATAGGAAGGGATGCTTCCCTCTCCCCTATTGAAAAGCCCCATTTAAAAATAGATTATACTATCAAAATGGAAGAAGATGGGAGACAGAGAGCCCTGGAGTACTGGCTGGAGGGGCCCCCCAGACGGGGACCACCACCCCAAAAAAAACCCTCCATTGGGAGGTAATAGGCAGGCCCCCAGGGAATTTGGAGACAAAGGAATGGCTTCTCAGGGGAAGAACAAGAGGAGTATTCTTCCCTGGCTGAAAGCTTACTTGAGAAAGAACAAGCTGACTGAGAAGGTTGGGGAGGTAGCAATTCCTATGTGAACAGTGTGATTCTTCCTTGGCTACCACTCCCAAACCATTAAATCATACAAGTGCTTCCTGGACTCAGATATGGCCAGGAATAATAAAACAAAACAAACTAGCTCTTCAACCCATATTGCAAAATAAAGACAGGGCACCCTCATCTCCCCAAGGGCAGGCTGAGAAATAAATAAAGGTCCTTCTCAAGCCATACCCTGATTGTCTTGTTTTAGGGAGAAAATTGGGGAAGAAATGGGGGAGATGTCTTACCTACTCTCCTAAAAGGGTTAGGCCAGATTCTTCCCAGTGGCCTTCAAAAAATAAATAAATAAACCGCCTCTACCATTCAAGTAGGAGACGTGTAAAGGCGGCCACTGGGAGCCTGGCAAAAAAGAAAGAAGTTGTCTATTTTGGGTGGAAGTTTAGTGAAAGATTCTCTCTTTCCCAGGATATCCACCCCACCACGAGCAGAGCATGAGTCTGTCAGTTGAACTGTTTCTCCTTGAGATGGCTAGTTGGAGAGTTGAGGAGCACGGATGGAGGGACTCCAGAAAGGGAGTGGTGGTGGAGTCATGGCTTCTGGGGCCCTGGGGAGAGCACCACGGGGGTCGAGAGGCCATCCACGCTGATGGAAGGGATGTGCACCTGTGCGCTGCCACTGGACGGAAACTGGAAGGAGAGCTTGGCTGGACTACGGGGTGCAATTGGACTCAGAGTGCTCCAGAAATGAATGCTGGGGGGCAGTGAGCTGGGTGTCAGCAGCACCGGGGTCAAGGTATGTGTGGGTAGCAGGGATGGCGTCAGTGCTGGCCCTGGTGCCTGCAGCCCAGAGCCTGTTCCTGATCCAGGAGTCCGTTCAGGTCCTGGGCTACCCAGCAGGCTTGGGCTAAGTGGAAGTTCCAGGTCCCGGGGCTTCCGGCCCTTCTGGGGTTGGGCGATCTCAGTGGCAGAGGCAGAGAGGCCACAAACCTGTGCTGTATTTTCCGTTATGACAGCTGGGAGCCGAGCCAGAAGGCCTTCTGAGGGTGAGACTTCTGGTTCAGTTTTGACAGTTTCTGAACCAAAGCCTGCAGCCCCTACTACTTGCAGTTCTTCCCTAGGTCCCTCCACTTTCACTTCTGGGGGCAGTGGACGGCCAAAACCTGGCTCCAGACCCAACTCTTCTGATTTCTGGTTTGTGGCCTCGGGTGGGGTCAGGATAACCTGCAGGGGCAGACCAGCCTCTTCAGCCTCCAAACAGGCTTCTATGGGGTTTGGACTGGTGCTCCTGCTCCCCGAGAGAGGTGCTGGTACTCCTGCAGGGGTAGTGTTGGGGAGCACTGAGGCAGGCCGAGGATGCAGAGGTGGTGGTGGCTGTGGCTGCAGGGACTGGATTGTGAAGGTGGAGTAGAGGCCCGAGCGCATGTATTCGTTTCGGCTGCTTCGTGCTAAACCACCTTGGCCTGCCATTCCTGCACCCTTGGGTGTTCCTGGCTTTCCACTGGCAGTGTCCCCTGGGGCTGCATGGATAGCAGCAGGGGCCATTGCTACAGTCGAGGCTACAGACACCTCAGGCTGGGGTGGGCAGTCTTCAGTGGAGCACCCTGCAACCTCTGGGTAGGATACAAACTTGTAGACAAACTTCTGACCGCTCACCTTGCGGATGATATTCTTGTCGTAGTAGTACCGCAACGCCCGGCTGAGCTTGTCGTAATTCATGTTGGTCTTGTTCTTGCGCAGCCCCCACAGACGGGCCACCTCCTCTGCGTCCACCAACTTAAATTCACCGCCATCCCGTGAGGTCCAAGAGATGATGTGGCCGTTACCTTGTTCTCTCAGAAGCTGCAGCAGAAACTGCCACAGCGTCACAGACGGGTCCATCGCTAGGGAAGTGCTCACGCCATTCCAGACGGACCTGCGTGTGGCGCGGCGGTGGCGGCGGCGGCAGCTCCCGGGGGCGGGGGCTCCATGTGATGCCCCACCGCCCCCCCAGGCCCGGGTTCCAAGGCGGCGGAGGCGGCGGAGGCGGCTGCGGCGGGAGCAACAGCGGCGGCAGCGGCAGCACCCAGAAGCCCGAGAAGGGGTTTTTATAGGAAGAAACCACAGCCCAATAATCCGAGAGGGGCCGGGAGGGTGTCACAGAAAATTCTGAAAATACCAGTGTTGATCACAAGGGGGCAACTCCCTGTTTCTCAAAAAAAAAAAAAAAAAAAAAAAAAAGATTATTCTGAAGATTACAATCTAACTTTATCTTCAGCTAGTTCCTAAAACACAGTCACTGAACCGGCTAATCCTAGATTTCTGATTCTTTTCTCCCTGCTTAGATTTTTGGCTCTATTTTTTCCTGCAAGGGGGGGGGGGTTTGGATTTATCCAGGTCTTTCAGTACCACCATTGCTTGGCCCAAACCTTCTTCGTAACATTCTTTCAAAAAAAATTATCCCGCCAACCTTTCCTCTTCATCTGACAGCACTTCCTTCCTTCCATTGACTCACGACTCTCCTTGGTTTGTAGGTATAAAAGGCTGGAGATGGCTTGATGGTTAAGAGATTGGTTGCTCTTTCATGGATTCCAGTTCGATTCCCAGCACACACATGACAGCTCTATGGTCTAAACCTTCAGTCTCCAGCTACTGAAGCCGTTTTCCGGTCTCCCTGGGAGCTGAACGCTACTTGCACAGACATACATTCGAGCAAAACACACATACATATATACAAATAAGAGTATCTTCGTCTCACCATGCCACCGGCGCCCTGGGCTCATCCGCTCACTCTCCCATCTCTCCCGAAGCGCATCTGCACGCCTCTCAACACGTGAGTCTTGCTGTAGAGAAAACTTCTTGAGCCTCCGTGGCACTGAGTGACAGGCCGGGACCTCCCACAACCAGGCTGCCCAGTCCGCATCAGCCTGGTGAGGCTGAAAAGACCTGGGCAGGGGCTGCCTCTGACCTCAGATGATCGCAGGGCAGTCTGCAAGCTCCGCCCGGGGCCTCGGCACCATCCCTGGCCGAGTTAGTCAGGGCGGCCGCCACCTGCAGACTCGGGGCTGAGCGAAGCTGCTCCGGGCTGGGACCCAGCGAAGTTCCGCTGGCCCGTGCTGTCCGGTACCGGCGTCATCTAGGCGGCATATTCTCGAATCTCTGAGTTACTTAACCAAGGAGGCAGCACGAACTCAGACTCTCAGATTGCCTATAAAGCGAAGCCGGAAGTGCCTCCTTTGACGCAAAGCGCTGAGGCTTCTGGGTAATGTAGTATCCTCAAGCCATGACCCTTCATGGGAGAACACCCTAAAGTTGGAACATGGGTATGCACAGACACTTGGCCAGCAGCATCGCTACTGTTCTGGTCTCGCTCCTGCAACAGGGGGCGTCGTTCTGTGATCGCCATGAAAAGGATTGCAGGGAATCACAGAAGCGTAGAGAGTCCTTATTTCAGATATTCTCCAATGCTACAAAATCAGATTACACAGGCAACCAGATTTGTGTGACCCAAGAATTGTGTTCACCTGATGACCTTTGAGTTAATAGTATTCCCTTATTTCTATTCAGATGTGTGTGAACTGACTCTTTATAAAGTCAGTTGTGGGGCTGGGGAGATGGCTCAACAGGTAAAGGCACTTGCTCCCTACCCTGGCAACAGGAGTTCAAGCCCCGGGACCTGCAAGGCAGGAGAGCAATTTGACCTCTATATATACACACACAAATGCACATACACACAAATGGACACACACACACACACACACACACACTATTACTTATTCCCCTTCCCCAAACAAATATAATAACAAAGTAAGTCATGGTCCCAGAGGCCTGAGACAGCGCCCACATCCCAGCTGTGGTCGGGTTTAACAGATGGGACCCAGAGGCCTAGAGGGGCATCTTAACTCATGAACACTATACATACACAATTGGCCATTTTCCCAAGCAGTGGAAAAGAAGGAAGAGATTTTGCTGTCTGGAGCCTGTGTGATCCTCAGCAGACACTCGGCCTCTCTGGCCCTTCACTGTTCCATGTTCCTGGGGACTTCATTTGGGGATGTCATGTATGTGCCCTATGGACCATGGCCCCTGAAAGTGACAGACACTCTGGCTGTAGTGACTGTGGTCCCCTAATGCATTCTGCAGGGGCACTTTGGCAGCGCTGCAATTCAGTAGTGACAGTTCAAAGTCCCACTGGTTGTCCCTGCCATGTCACAACCCACTTAATGCCCATCCCCAAATCCAAACAGTCAAGGCTCCCCTGTGAATTGCAAGGTTTTTATTGTTGGAACCCTGTTTTTAGACACCTGGAGGGTAGGGGTAGGGCTTGGCGCATCTATGCAGGTGAGCAGACAAGTGGCTTTCTGAGTTTTCTGGCAAAGATGGAATCATCAACAGAGAGGGTTAGCTTCTATTTTTTCCTGTAAAGAAAAAGGCAGCAAAGCATCAGAGGTGAAGGAGATCTCAGCAGTCACACACGGGACACTACTTGGGAGGGACCTGCACTCTGCAACAGCTCCTGGGTCTAACTTGCCCAGGGAGTCTCCTCTCGATTCTGTCTCCAGCACACCACACCAGGGCGAGCCTTGTAAACAGCCTCCAATCCAGCCTGATGGGAAGAGCCACCTGCCCTCGGCACACCATGGGCACATGTGGGGCAGAATGGAGAAGCAGCTGGGGAGGGCCTGGCAGGACTCCAACTGATTCCTGTCACATGATGACCTCAGAGGCATGCAGCTGGGGTGGTGACAATGACTAGTTCTAGGGATACGATTCTGCAGCTGAGCATCCAGGGCTGGATTCCCCACAGTGACCTCGGAGATCCAGAGAACAAGAAAAAAGATGAGTGTTTGGGGGTGTGTGGTAGACTTGAACAGTAAGGATAAAAAATCCAGACTGGAGAAGGGGTGTCAGGCACTGATGTTGCTGGACTTGGGAGGTTGAGCCAGAAAGCCTGAGGAGGCCAGGTGGTACTGTGGGCACAGGGATCCTGGGGGTCTGGTCTGGCTTGACTGAGCTGTACAGCCAGTGTCCTTCTTGCCCCTTCCTCCTGACATCTTTCTGGATTCACAGAGGGGCTGCAGTGCTGGGGAGGAACACACATCCATCCCTAAGCTGGGGTGAGCAGGTGGGCCACAGGCTCTGATCCAGACACACAGAGAACTCACCACCAAACTCTTTGCATTCGCCTTGTCGTCCTCTGTCAAGTTGCTATCAACACATATCTTCAGAAATTCAGCAGTTTTCAATACGGCAGATTCGTTAATGTACTGGCTCACGTAATCCACATAGTCAGACACAGATCCGCCAAGAAAAAGATCAAGGTCCTTATTTATAGCTGGGCAAATGCCACAATCTGGAACACAAAGAAGAGGTGAAATCCTTGCATCAGAACACAGATGTCCTTCCTGGGGAGTGAGGCTGTGAGAGCCCTGGAGACCCTGCATCCCCGCCACCAAAGCCTAGTAACCACTTTACCCTGAGGTCACCCACATCCTAGTACCTACTTCCCCCAGAGGTCAGGAGCAGGGCAGCCCCAAGCAACACGAGAGCACCAGTGAGCTTCATGGTAATGGCAGCAGGTGCTCCTACCCAGATTGGGGCCCCTTTTGTAACTGCCCTGTTCTGCTCAGGGAGTGGGGAGGGGCTGGGTCTGAGCTCTCCAGGCTCCTCCCAGAATCCTGCTTGAACCTCCCTGGGGCTGTGTCAGGGGGAGATGTGTGTTTTGGCAAGAGAGTAAGATCCTGGTCAACAAAGGGCCCAGGTTCAGCCTGGTCCCCTCCTTAGTGTTCTGCTTAAGGTCACATGTCATGTGAAGACCCAGGAAGTGATGAGCAGGGAGAAGACAAGGTTGCTCCCATAGGCCTCCAGAGTGAGGTCTCTGTCACTCCATCACTCCAGGGAACACAACGGTTATTAAAAAGCCTCCCTAGTAGTCAATGTCTGGGGTAGACCAGACTGCTGACCACTTGGGGACCCTGCTCTGACTGTTTCCGCCCCTGCCCCCATCTTTCACTTGCTTCACGGCTCCACTGAAGCTGACTCTAACCCTGAAGTCCTCCTGCTGTCGGAGTCGTCCTTCAACTCCATCTTTCTGTTGTTATTATTCTGTTTGTTTTGCTTGCTGTGCTTTATGTTAGGTCTCTACATAGCTCTGGCTGTCCTGGAACTCACTCTGTTGCCAGGCTGGTCTTAAACTCACAGAGATTCACCTGCTTCTGCCTCCTGAGTACTGGTATCAAAAGCATGCAGTATCCAGCTAAACTTGACCTATTATATACTTTGCTAATGTTTCTGGTTTTTTTGGAGACAGATTCTTGCCCAGGGTAGTCTTGAGTTCATAACCCTGAGAATGGAGGGTGTGTGTCTCTGTGTGTGTGTGTGTGTGGTATGTCTATGTATGGCGAATTCTGCTTTCCCTGGGCCTGGTCGGAAGCATTGTTAATATTTAATAACAACTGCCTGGTGCTGTGTCCAATACTTTCAATGCTAACACTAAGGAGCCAGAGGCAGGTGGAACAGTCTGAGTCCCACAGGGAGTTCCAGGCCAGCCAGAAATACACTTGAAGTTCATACTGCAAATGGCTCATGTTCATTTTCTCATAACTAAGCAAAGATGCCTGATTTGGAGCAATCTGACCCCCTAATTTGTCACAGCCTGACTATCTTCCTGCTCCAGTTGCTTTGACTTTCCACCAAGAACCCAGCATGACGGCCTTGATGGCAGCACCAGCGACTTTGAATACTCCATAGATTCCTTGAGGAAATTAGAGGGCAATCTCAGCCGGTTACCCCAGATTCTGAAGACACAGCTTCAATCTGGCTGGTTCAGAGTGTCTAGCAGATTTTCACTATCACAGAATTCTAGATGACCCATCAACCACTTCTACCTAGGTCAGACAGGAAGCGCCCTGTCTCTCAATGGCCCAGCAGAGGGGGCTGCTAAGAGGCAGGCTGTGGTAGGCTCCAGTGCCCCTCTGGCCTATGGAGGGGGGCAGCTCAGACCCATGCCCTGTCCTGGGAGACATGCTCGCACTCTCTCCCCGGGACTGACATTGTAGGCCTCATGAGAGGATTCTGTCTTTTTCCTGCACCACTTTCAGCATTGTGGGCTGAATGGACAGCAGTGGAGAAGGGGGCAGTGAAGCAAAGGCTGAGGCAGGGGAATGACAGTTGAGTCAGCAGGCAAGCAGCTTGATGTGTGCAGGCTGAAGCATTGGACAGGGACAGGGCAGGAAAGGAAAGGTCACAGCAAGAGTGCAGGGAGCAGAGTCTGAGGAAGATCAAAGGGGACAGACCCACAGGACAGAAACTTCAGGACCTGTTTGACAAAGAGGTCCAGGGAGCTGTGGTGTCTTTAGACACAAGAGCCTCACAAGGGCCAAGAGCCACAGCACTGCTGAGTGCCAAGGAGGTCTGACTTCCTACCCATGAGGCTCTGGGTCCAATGCTGGTGTGAGGCCTGTTTACTAGAGGGTTCCTCCTGCTGCTGCTCCCACCTGCCAGCTGCTTCTGCTCCTGCTGGGACACATGGAGGGCAATGAAAGCTGCCCAGTGCAGCAGCTGGAGAGTGCCCCTTCCTGCACCCATTTCTACCTTTGTGAGCAAAGGGATCCCGGACAGTTAACTCGGGACACATCTGCCTCAGTCTCCCACAAGCAAACGGGGATTCCATGTGGGAAGCCCCAGTCTTCCCCTCATTTCTCTGGACTCTGCCAGTCCCCTGACCACTCTGTGCCTGGAAACCAGAACTCCATTACCCTGGTCTGTTTGTCATCCGGAACATCTCTGTACCAGGCACGTCACCATGTCACCATAAGCATGACCCCAGGGAGAGCCCGGACGTCCATATGCTCAGCCCTCGTGTCTGATGTGCTTGCCCTTCACCTGGCTGGGAGATTCGATGCTTCCTTCCCCACACTGCATCCAAAACACCAAATCAGAGGACAGCCTGCTATGGCGTCCACATGGCTAGGCCGCACCAAACCCCACCTTGCGCCCTGGTCCCAGTGTGGCAGGTGAGAGGCAGTGCACGGTGTGTGGCTGTAAAGCATGTGCAGCCTCTGCTCTCCTACTGTCTTCTGCCAGCCCCACCTCCCCCACCCCTCGCTGCCCCTTCTGCTCTGCACCAGGAGCTCAGACAGGGCAAGGCAGTGGGTGGATGTGGCTGCTCTGTCTTGGACTTTCAAGACTCCAGACCATGAACCAAGTTAACTTCTTTCCTGTGT